ACTAATCGGTTTTCTGTCTCTATGAATTTGCCTATTCTGGACATTAATATAAATAGAATCATACAATTTGTGGTCTCTGTATCTGACCTCTTTCTCTTAGCATGTTTTAGGGCACATTCCTGTTTAGGCATGTATTAATACTTTGTTCTTTTTTGTGGCTGAATAATATTCCATAGTTTGGATGTGCCATGTTTTGTTTAGCCATTCATCAGTTGATAAATATTTGAGTTTTTTCCACCTTTGGTTATTATGAAATAATACAGCTGTATTTGCATACAACTTTTTGTGTGGGCATGTATTTTCAGTTTTCTTGGGTAAATACCTAGGAGTGAAATTGATAGGACAACGGGCAACTCTGATTTTCTGAGTAACTACTAAACTGTTTTCCACAATGGCTACACCATATTACATGAGTCGTACCATTTTACATTTCCACCACTGGAGGTTTTGGATTGTACAAAAAAATAAATGAAATGTCCTGCAAATAAAATGTCTGCCAGCCAACATACTGAAACAGTTACTATTATATTTTCATATGATGTCTCTGAAGGAAAAAAAAAGTTTAGAACTTACAAAATGAATGACTTTCTGCTTAAACATATTCTCAGAGACCCATTGGAAGTGATTAGCTTTGGGTTTTACCTAAAAACTGAGGAACTAATTATTTTTATCTGTGCATGACTAAGAACTTACAATGTCATATTAATGTTTACTTTTCCTGATGGCATTGAAAATATTAGTCTGTGAATTGACACTTTACCTTCAAATCATATTGGTTTCTGGACCTTTGTCTTATTAAGAAAGAAACTAACAGCTTCAACTATTATTCATAAAATAACCACATATACATTTGGAACACTGAATATATGACTGCATACTTGAATATGAGGTTGTAAGAGGGTGAGCTCATGTCTTCTCCTTTTGCATCAGAAATAGTAAATGATACCTCTATGGGTATCATTTACATAGATGTAAGTAATACCGATTAGGAAAAATCTTTAATAGTAATGTTGTTTAAAGTTGTTTGCATGATATAAACAAAAATGTTCGGTTCTCCAGCTTAGATGGTACAACATACCACACTGCAATAACAGGAACAGGGCTAACTAAAACATAAACATTTCTATAGTATAATGCACCAGTGTCTTACATTTGCCTACTTTAAACTCAAGTGATTGTCTAGGAATTCCATTTTCCTCACCAGAGCCAAGCTTGCTGATCTTTACTCTCTTCTGACTTCATGCAGCTCCGTATTCAGGATTCAGTGACACTAACATTAGTCCCCATCTCTGATGCTTTCCGCCTTATCAGAGACCTGGAAAAGCATGAGCTTGGGAGCAAAGCAGACCTGATTAAGAATCCCGGCTCACTGACATTTACCAGGTGGAGGATGTTGGGCAAGCTACCTAATTCCTTTGAGTCTCTCTGCTCACATGTAAAATGAAGAAAATCATACAACCTCATGAGATCATTCTGACCATTCGTGACGTGCAACAATACTTTGAAATTAGTAAGAGCCACATAAGTGTTTTTTAAGCAGGTAAAGTACCAAATCCATTGCTTGCATAACCACTCAAGGAATAACAGCTGTTATTCAGTCACTGCACAAATATTTCCTGAGTGCCAGACCCCATTCAAGGCACTGGGGATACTCTATGATGGAAATAGACCAAGTTCCTTCCCGAGGAACTTAAATCCTAATAGAGAGGATAACAACAAATGAATAAATATGTCAATGAATAGCCAGTATAGTCAGTCCAATAAGAAAAGTAAAGCAGGTTATGGGGTTGGAAAGTGATATGGGGGGGGGGGGAGGGAAATTGTGGGTACTATTTTAGACAGAGTGGTCAGGGAAGACCTCTCTGAGGAAGTGACGTTTAAGTAGACTTCCTGCTCACGTTACTGTGTTTATAGTATTTGCTGCTTGACCTCTCCCTGCACATTTTGGTTGTCTCATGTGCTCCCGGTATCCCTGTTTGCCTTAAAATCTGAATGGAGAAAAAGGTGGAATCAGGAAGTTTTTTGATCTGTGGCTCAGAATATTAAATTAGGAGTTGAAATGTTAAAAGTTGGAATTTGTCTTTGTTCTGAATAAACATCCTTACCTTGGAAAACTTTGTTCCCAAAGGAAGTGCACTGGGCTAGCAATCCTGCAGTTATACTTTTTTTGATTACCATAATCACCTCTCTAAGTCCATGCTAGGCTCAAGACAACAATAGTGCTAATGGCTGTCATTTATTAAGTACCAGGCACTGAACAAGGGGGGCTATAGATGTTTTGTCATTTACTTAATTCTCACAGCTAACTTTATGAAGTAAATATTATGTCTCTTAATTACAGGTGAGCACACTAAGGCTTTGATGACTGAAGTGACTTTACCCAAAACCAGACAGCTAATAGTAGCAGAGCCAGGATTCAAGCTTAGATAAACTTTTTTTCTTTCTTTCTCTCTCTCTCTCTCTCTCTTTTTTTTTTTTTTTAATAGATGAGATCTCACTATGTTGCCCAGGTTGGTCTCAAACTCCTGGGCCCAAGGGATCCTCCTATCCCAGCTCCCAAGTTGCTGGAATTATAGGCGTTCACCACTGCTCTCAGCTAAACTTAGATAAACTTTCTGATTTCAAAGCATCCGTTCTTTCTGGCACTGTTATCTGCCTGCAGTGATAATTACCACTGTTCTCATTAATAATTTCACATTTAGAAAATACTTTATCTTAGAAGAGTAAAATTACATGCCTTAAATATAATGTACATATGTTTTATGTATTTAAAATTTGATGATGTATATTTCAATTATTTATTGCATTATTCTATGTCAGGTGTTAAGAAAATAAAGACGTTCTAAAATTTCATCTATATTGAGAAGTTACTTTTCATCTAAACACAGTATTTCCCGAATAATGCCAGGCTCCACTCTGTGCTAATACTGTAATTCTAGTACCACTGCTACTATTTATTGAGCAGCTTCCATTTTCCATGTATTGCAGTATTGAATCTTCACAGTAACCCTCAAAGATAAGTATTTTTATGTTTATTTTATAGATGAGGAAACTGAGACTCGGAGTGATGAGTAAAATATCCAAAGTTAAATAATACACAGTGGAGTCAGACACCTGGGACTATTTACTACAGAGCCCTACATCATTCTCCTTCACTGAGAAACACAAAGATACAGTCTTCACTCTGTGGAAGCTAATCTGCGGATACTGTCACTTTAGGCTAGTAGAGCTAATAATTTACATGTACACTTTATAAATTTTATCTCATTTAATCCCCACACTAACCCGGTCAAATGGTAGTTATGGTATAATGTAGGTGGTATTGTTATTGCTATTCTTAGATATATGCTTAAATATCTGCAATTCAAGGCAGACTGGCATAATAGTTAAGTCAGACAAAATGCTATGGGAATCCAAAGGGAGAAGGGAGATGATTGAGAGTTAGGAAAGCTTAGCTTAGACATTGTGAAAGGTATCAATTCACCTGCGCTTTGAAAAATAACACCTGTATAGGTCTATGTTATCACCAGTTAACAGAGAAGGGTGTATCTGAGAGGAGTAACTTGGCCACATGGCCAGTTGACAGAGAAGAGATTATAATTTGGTCTGCCTTACTCTTCACCCAGGACACTGACCTTTGTTTAGAATAGCACACCAGTAAAGCTTCGTTGGCCTTTTGGTATCTCTTTGTAACAAAGCTAAGTCCCTGATTCTGTGGTACTCCTGAAACGATGTGAAATTGAAGGAAAGAGATAAATCACAGAAAATTAGAGTCAGCCAGATCAGCTACTCCTGAAGAGTCACAGGTTCTTGATCCTGAGAGAGTCTCCCTTTCTTTGTCTGAAAAATGACTATAGGCCAGTGCTTCTCAAACATTCTCAGTCATCTGGAGAGCCCATTAAAACAAAATTGTTGGGACCCACCCCCAGAGTTTCTGATTCAACAGATCTGGGATGGAACCTGGGAGTTTATATCTAACAAGTTCACGAGTGATGTTGATGCTGCTGGTCAAGGACCAAACTTTGAGGACCACGAGTCCCTTCTCTGAGAGCTCATTTCCTCTCTAACACTCTATTTTAAAACTCTACTAAAAGCATAGAAATTAGGAGGTCTGAACCCTGTAGTTCTGTCTCCAACTAGGCATTCCACCTTAAGCAAGACACTTAACTTTTCTCTGCCTGTTTCTTCAGTAAAGTGCAGCCCATAGCTCCTTGTGACTTAGGATGAATGAGTAAATTAAATCTCTCATTTAAAAAAAAAAAAACCCTTTTGAAAAGAATTCTATATAATCAGTTGTGCATATCCGTGTGTGAAGTGAAGATTCTGCTTTAACTGAGTCCTTGAGGAAACTACGGTCTACCTTTAAAGTAAAAAAATTAATAGGAAATGTCTCTTTCCTCTCTTCTCTATTAAAAAAAAAAAAAAGGAAGGAAGCTTAGTGTAAGAAGTGTACCCATGGAGAATGTATTTAAAATCCAAATGACCCATAAGGGACCCCATCCTTTTTGGCAGATAAGGGTTTCCCTGCCATTTATTTAATAAATTAATTAAAAAGAACATAAATAAAAGAGAATAATAACTTAGAGCTATCTGGGCACCTGAGTCTATGAGCCCTTTAGGGCCTTGGCACCCAAAGAGAAGGGGAAAAAAACACCGCATCTCTGAGGCTTTGAAAGTGGCTTTCCTTGAGGCATTGGAGAAGCTCTAGGGGCCCTAGGAGCTAAAGGACGGAGATGCCTGGGGCATGAGTCTGTTAGATCCAATAAAGAACCAGGAGAAAAAAAAAATGGCTGGTAAGTAATTTTGCTATTTCATTTGGTGGAAAAGAGAAGGCAAAACACCAGAATATTCAATGAGCAAAAGTAGAAAATGTAGCATGGATGTGAATGCAGGCTGACCCCTTGGGAATATTTCTAAGCCTAAATGAAGCACTCAGTGCTGAGGATAATGTACAATTCTGTGCATTTTAAACCGTAGTGACCCTTTTGTTTCTCTGATAGGCGAAGATGAGGATGAATTTGAGAATTTCATGCTGCCTCTTACAGTTGCTTTTGAAACAGTATTACAGATATTCGACAACAACTTTAAACAAGAAGACGTAAAGGTGGGTTTGTTTCTAAATATGAGGAACGACAATTTCATTTTTTCTAGGCTATCTAGATCCAAAAAGGGTTTTGCATGTCTGTGTGTGCTGTTTGCTCTTCAGACCTCCTTTCCCAATCGCACGTCTTTAAGTTGTACTTTTATTTAAGCGCTTTTCTAGTTTCTTATACAAATGAACTTTGAGGTCAGCAAATAGTTTTGGACAGTCAGTTCATGATTAGATGACATAGATTTGTCTCCTGTGGCAGCTACTGTCTTTAATAGAACACTTCTTGTGGGTACACCACTTAAACACCCCCGTTCCCTCATCTGCCCTGCACTGTATGTTTCAACATATCTGTATGGAGGAATGCACACACATGCACATACTAAAACACTACATCTCTAAATATTTTTTTAAACAAGAATTTATATAAATCAAGACTTTATTAAATGGCTAGGCATATATGTATAAATAGGAACTGGTCTTGAAGTATTGCATTCTTAAACGGAACAAAGTGATTAGGATAACTGATAGCTAAATAAGGTTTTTATGTGCCTGTGGGAGCCATATTAGGATTGATTTGACAAGTCAGTTCAGCTGTGGCAACAGTCATAATATCTAAGACAACATTATGTTTTATTAGTAAAATCCTTAAGTGTAGCAAGCTGTCTGTGACAAAACAGCCCCATATTTTAAGGTGGGGGATGGGAAGCACAAGCTCTGCTAAATACAAATAGTATCTTCTGAAATTATAATGTATTAGGGCAATATTAAATAAATAGACACTGATTATTCTTTTTAACAGACTAATAAATGCACTCCAGAGAATGTAGACACCTTTGTTGGTGACAGTCGAGTCACATATTTCATAGTTACTTGAAATATGTTGGAAATATTAACCATCTTTTGCATAGCGTCTCCTCACCAAAAAAAAAAAAAAAGAAAAGAAAAAAAACTAGCAGTAAAAAGCCAAATAGAAAAATGATACGGCCTTTATTAATTATCTTTAGGTTATTCTTCTATCAAAAAATAATCAGCCAAATGCTATACCTCTTAACTTAAAAGAATTTTTGAAATTAATGTTTATCAGCATGCTATAGTTACAGAATTTTAAAACCAAAAAAGGATCTTACAGATTTTCTTTGTGTTTATAGTCTTCCTGAAATTCTTCACCAGAGTTTCGACTCAGGTTAGCTGTATCTTACAGATGTCTTCCACATATTTTCAGTGCCCAACAAAATCTTTGCAGCTTTTAGGTTGCTATTGCTGCCCTTTATCAAAAAGAAGCAGTGAAGTTGAAAAACATCATCTTTATAAAAATTACGTCTCTCTCATCTGAAGATTTCATTATATTCCAAGACCATTTTTGTTGTAATCCCATCTAGTTTGATAGAAACCATCTTCCTAGAGTCATTTTTAATGGAGTTCCAGTGATATATCCCTAAACCAGCAAGTTCTTAACGACCCTGGAAAGTGACTGCTTGATTACACTTTAACGGTATTTGCAAATAAAATCACAAGTAATTAAGGGGAAATCTCCAGGCTTTTGAGCAAGTTTGATGCATGATAACTGCCTGATTCAGCTTCATCTAGAGTAATGCTGTGTAGGCAACAGCTACTGAGATCAATAGCAACGTAATGATAGTGGCAGAATTAAGTGAGTAACCTGAGAACTGTGCCTCAGAATGCATGCAGCTGCCACGAACCAAGGCCACACAGTGCACTCCGTGCTTCCGTCCTAAATGTTCATCAAAAGACGCCCTGCAGGAAAATGGAGTTAGATGCTCTTTATTGCTGATCGTGTCTCTTGCCACATTTATCAGGGAAATTGGATTAGCAGTTGGCAGCTGCAGGTAGACAAGATTCTGCAGTGATTAAATATGCAGCTTGGCTGCATTTGTTGTGACAGACCTTTAGTAAATTCTACTGTAAGCACCATCTGTCTAATTTGTATAAAGAAAACTTGGTGCTTTAAGCTACCGATAAAAAACTAAATCTGTTGCTCTATCATAAACAAAACTTTTGCACTAAATGCTTTTAAATGTAATTTATTAGGTTAAAGCTATTTTTCTATCATGATGAATAAATAATAGGCGCAAAAGTGCTTTCAGGTACTTCATTTTGCAAGTACTAGAGATAAAAACATTTCTGTTTTGTTCTTCAATAAAGTATTTAGTATTCCAATCCACAGGAGGTGATGCTGTTAAAATATCTCTATGAAAATGCCGCAGGACTGCCAAATTCATTTAATTTGCAACTCTTACCAGGATTTTCTAACTCCCTATTTATAAATGTTTTCCGATGCAGATTTCAGGATAAACTTAAACATGAAGGGAGTCCTAAATTTATATCTTTGTTTTCTTACTTATTCTTAATAAAATTGAAGAAAACATTGAAATTTTGTCTTGGGTTTTTCTCTTCCAAGTAAAGGGGAAAAGGGAAAGATACTCTGACAAATCTTGGCTTTAGAGTATTCTTACAGAATATATGTTTTCCCCCTATAATTGTATCCATGGTAAAATATAGTCCAGTACTCCCCTGACTCATGCATCATTTTTGATTTGGTCATGACATCATCAGTTTCAAGGAAAATGAATGAAAACTTCCCAGAGAAAGAAGAGCAGTTAAATAGGAACCTACTATCTTTAGTCCTTTCGTAAAAACTCCACAATGTTAAATTATTTAAAATCCTTGATTTTCAGCATGCGCACATTAAAAGTTTTCACACTAAGTGCCAAATGTTGCAAACAGCACTTTAACAGAATGATTTTGCTTTGATCCCTGTAGCAGTTCCTGAATAATTTATCACAGGTTATTGCCTTAATTCTGGAGAGGGATAGAGCAATAAAGGCAGATGAAAACACTCCAGTTGAAACACCTTGGGGCCTGCTCATTCCTCTGACAGGGCTCTTTTGTTGGAACTATTTAGAGGTTATTAAGATGTGTCTTCAGAATTAAGAGTATGCTGTAAGGATGAAGACAGCCATCTTAATTCTAAAGACAAAGCACAATGACCCTTCACCTTCTTTTTCTTTGTTGTTATTATATAGTAGAATTATGAGGATAATATTATAGCTGCCCCCAGTAGTGCCACTACAGTAAAGGGTCTGTCAGACTTTCCATTAGAAACCCTGTTTTGGGGGTCAGGGTGGAAGGAACCTCGTTTCAGCTGTTTCCTAGCCCATTCGTCTCACGCTTGGCACACAGACAACTGTTCACCATGCAGCAGACTGAAGAACTCCGCAGTTTCTCCCTAACTATCCAGAAAGGAATCCGTAGGGTTAGATCCCTAGACCTATCCCACTCCCCAAAACAGCCTCACTAAAAATACAAGAGCCTGTCACTCTTCAGATCAATCTTGTGTTGACCAACTGTGGGAGAAAGGCAACTTTTAAAATAAAACTGTTTGCACTATTTTAAATGAGATGGTAAACGGTAGCACCTCCTTTCCTCAAATTCAAGAAAATCACCTCTCACTGTCTGGTTGAGCTCCTAGTTAGCAGATTTTTCTTTTTCATATCCGGGCTGCATATGTTTTGGCTGTTGAGAAAACACTCTCTTTAGTGTTGTTTGTGTATCCATGTAGATTATTACAGTATTCTCTGCTGCTTTGAGATAAAAGATATTGTTTGAGCATAAGAAATCTATTTAAATGAGTTGAACTCATTTAAAACATACGTTTAGTTATTATATGCTTCCTCTGTAGTAACATTTTCTAGAATGAAACATTGATATAATTTTATAGCCACATTTTGCCACTTAAAAAAAAAAAAGCCCATAGATTTGAGTTCTATAGACCACTTCTATTAATCTGACATCTTTTAAGGAAGGAAAAAGTTGTGATAAAATAAAAATTAATCCTTTTGTATAATGAGGATAATCTAAAATATTTTAAGAGCCCTTTGTACTAGACACAAAGAAAGTAAAACTCATGGTTCTTGTTGACTAATTTAGACTTAAATGGTAGATATCTCATGTGTAAGTGGAAACTTAAAATTATTTGAAGCATAGCCTGAAACCTGTAAGTGTACCTAATAAAAATAGAACAAAAAGCCTAATTTAATAGAAAGACTGCAAAGCTAAGGAGTCAGAACACAATGATTTGAAGAAGGCTTCTTTGAAGATATATTTTGTGCTAGAGGCTTCCAGGAATGTGAAAAACTGAGAAAGAGAGGAACAGGTTCCAGGTGATTTAAAAAAAAAAAAAAAAAAGCTACATGAAAAGGCAAAATGCTTAAAAACTAATTGCAGGTTACATGAGGGAGCTACAAGGAGGCCAGCTGGTTACAGAAAAACGAGAACTGGTGAGAGTATGAGAGGAAAAAAAGGAGTTAAGTCATTTAAAGGAACAGAAACAAAAATTCAGAGTTTTCAGATTCAGAAATTCTCTGAACTGTTATCATTCTCTGAACTGTTAGTCAGTATAGAAACTGAATATTCCTATAAATAACATCCAGTTACATTGAGTCACCTCTTAGACAGAGAGAGTGGAGAGGATGAGAAATTCCAGATGCTTCTGAGTTAAACTGTTATTTAGTACTTTGAAATTAAATTAAATCAGCCATTAAGATGAGGGTCAGGATTCACCGTTTGCTTAATAATAATTTAAACTCCTGCGTAAAAACGTTTTCATTTATTACCAAAGTGTGAGAAAAGAGAAAATCTGGTAGAAAAAAAAAGTTCAGAGACCATTTCTAGCTGAGTATTTGAAATGGAACGGTGTCTTCAGAAGTCACAGTTGTATATCTCAATTATCCCACCCCCTTGTTTTGTAATTATGTTTATTTGTGCTCTTTGTTCTGACATTCTAGCATCTGTTCATGGGTTTTCTTTTTCTCTTCCCAAGCATCCACCTAAGGACAGCTTAATTAAGAGTCCGGAGGACAAGTCAGATCTCTTCTATTCAAGAGTCAAGTTTTTGGTTTTTTTCTCTAAAACTAAATACTTGTGGAACTTTTACTGTGTATCAGTCTCTGCCAGGCATTTCACATACATTTATTAAATTTATTTGTCACAGTGCTTCTGTGAGAAATGTGTTATGAGCCCCTTTTATAGATGACAAAAGTGAGCCTGATAAATTGTCTTGCCTTAAGTCTTAAAGCTGGGATTCAGATTCAAGTCTTAGGACATCAAATATAGAACCTGTTTTCTCACGTCTTCCTCGCTTGGGGAATGTGACTGCCATTCTGCGTGTATCAAAGTACCAGGAGGTCTCTTGGCCAGTTTTATTTTGTCCCAAAGTTATTAAAGATATTCATGAGGAATTTTTAAGTGTCAGTGCCTTTCTAGGATAGACTCTAAATTATGTTGTAGAGGCTACTGCATACAAGCTGATGTTTAAGATTTACTGTTATTAAATAATATCTAGACCCTGTACATATCTGTTTCGTGTAATTATCAATCCTAATCTCTTTTTTTTTTCTGATTTGGCTTTATTCAGAAACAAAGTATATTAAGAATCTAAATGCTTAGCTATGCTACTGAAATTATGACTTGGCTAAATTTGTGAGAAGCAAAGTGGAGTTGATCAGCAGAGTTGATGGTCTGTTTGTTTAGAGAGTCTGTGATTTTCTGTAGAAAGAGGTCTGAACGAGACATTTTAGCAAATGAATCAAAATCAGATATGTGGTCATTATTGCCTGATTATTACTCCATCTGCTCTGCGCTAACGTGAAAATCAATTACTGTGTCTCTTTCCCACTGACAGCGTATGTTGATCGGGCTGGCAAGAGATCTTCGAGGGATTGCCTTTGCACTGAACACAAAGACCAGCTACACCATGCTGTTTGACTGGATGTATCCTTATTACACTGTGACAATACCAGCTCTGTGCACAGAGGGATGCCAGGCCCCTCGCTTTCGTTTAATAGTATGGCACAGTAGGGAAGAGGAAACAAAGCTAAATGAACTAATGTGTAATCAGCTAAAAATTACAACACAGTGGCAGCAGTACAGATAACTGAGCACAGTATTTGGAGACCCAGCTCCGAGAGGCCACTTTTTTGGTGCAGTTAAATGTTGATACTTAAAAATGACTTCCCCCAAATGATTGTTTATGTCGGAGTTGAAGGAATGATCTGGCTAGCATCTTTAGGGATCAACGAATCCTACCATTTGGCATTTTTGAGGGGAGATGTGAATCTCCATCTCAATTAGCAAAGCTGGGAAGATCATTTTATCTCTTCGAGGCCTAACTCATCATGCCACAGTTTTTCATTATCATGAAAATAATTAATGGACGTAAAAAGGGGAAAAGAGTCAAGATTTGTCATCTGATGTAAAATTTGAATTTACCTTTGCCAAGGGTTAGTACAGACAGAAAAAAAAAAAAAGAGTTAAAAGAGCATGGACTTTGGTGATAGACAGATGAGGCTTAAAATCCCAGCTCTTCATTTACTGTGTTGTGAACCTTGGCAAGTCATTTCACCTGTGTGAGTCTTGGTTTTCTCATTTGAAAACAGCTATAATCAGTATCATGGCTTATTGTACCCGTTAAAATAGGTAAAGTGTACTCTGTATAATGTCTGACACATTTTTGGTAGTTGTAAATGGCCATTAATACTGTTCTAATAGTATTGTATGACTTACCTTTGATCCCAACAGGAAGTGGTGTTGTACATAAGTCATATAAGCGTTATATAATGGTTTTATGTCTTTTATACATGAAACCATCAGAGCATATGAAAAAATTATATAATCTCAAAGCTAGTTTACTTTTTAATCTAAACTGTTTCTCAGTTGCTTTGTTTAAACCCTTCTTAGCAAACTTTCCTGTAAATCAAATGGCAATAGAAACTTCTTAAAAGCAACTTTCAAATACTCTGCCACAGTTGTGGCCAAAAATATAACTAACAGGGGATGTAGGCATGTTTTAGGGAGAACTCTACCTATTATAAAAATTTTTGAACATTTACCCAGAGAAGGGTTACAGCTTTTTATATAATTGAGTAATCATGCACATGCTTTACATCAATATATAATATATAGAGAGATTATAAATTTCAACATGGAAAGTCTTAAAATTCTCTTAACTATGACAGTTAAACTGGAATTATATATGACCCTTTTATTTCTGCCTTTTCTTAAATTTTTAAGAGATAAGGACTCGTATGTTGCTCAGGCTAGACTCAAACTCCTGGGCTCAAGCGATCCTCCCACCTCAGCCTCTCGACTAGCTGGGACTGTGGGACTGCAGGTGAGCTCCACTGCACCCAGCTTGACTCTTTCCTTTCTCTGAACATAAATAGCACCTCTCAAAATCAAAATTTTTATTATTTGAAAAATAATAAAAGTCTACTTTGGGCACTGTAATATCGATGGTGATCTTGAAACCAGTTCACAACTCTAGGCTATCTAGTGATTAACATTTCGTGTTTTTCTCTTCAACAGTTTCAACCAAGAGTCAAGGTCAGAAACCTTCCCCTCACTGTCAAAAAAGAACTATCTGCCATAATTAATACTGCCCAATATTTAGAGAAGATACTATAATTTACATTTTTAATTGTTTTCCATTTTCTTATTTAGCTCCTTTGAGGGTCGGGGGGAACCTTTCTGAAATGCAACTTTTGTCCAGCAGATGGCAGAAAATAGCAAACGGAAAATCTTGGGACTTAATGTTTTGTTTTGAACTGGAAACCTTTGTCTCCTCCATTTGACCATAGGTGTTGAAGTTTTCAGGGTCGGGGTGGAGAGAAGTGTCAGTTATGCGGGAAGCTGTGTTAGATTGCCAAATGGGGTGGTTTGGTACTGGCGTTGCTTATAATAATTGAGTTTCAGTAGCAAATCAGCTTCCTTGGGAAAAGGCCAAGGGCTTTTCATAATTGTATTGACAACAAAATGAATATGATAAATGGTGTTCATTCAGTTGAGACAAGATTTATAGTTTTCCTTTGGGCGAGGGATGAAGAGCAAATATTTATAATAATAGTAAAATTTGTTTAAAAGTTATATTATTTGATAATTCAAAAAGCTTTATTAAAATATTTTGAAATACTTTAAGCAGTTTCAGGTGATAAAGTACAGATTCTTTCCAAAGTATTCAAGTAATGCAAAAATGAATAAGTATGATTTTAAAAATGCCATGGATATGAAAGTCATTTATTCTTCCTGAAATATTGATATGTCAAACCGTCAGTGATGATTTCCACATTACTGCTGGGGAAAGTTTATTTGCCTTTTATCCACATAAATGTGTGTTCTTTAATTTGTTATACAATCCTTAGCATGCAGAAGCAGCATCCTGGAAGAGCACATGTCATCTTAAAGTCAAAATGCATTTTATTTATGGCTATTATTTGATAAAATGCTATTTTAGTGGTTAGCTATTTAATTCAAAAACATTTCTATAAACACTGACTGCATTAACTGCTACACAAACTACGTTGCTTTTCACTCTGTCCTTCCAAAACTAAACTGCCTGAAACTACACGGCAACCATCTTGATAAATGGTTTCCAGGGCTGGAGAATTGAAGGAGGATCACTGACTCACTTCTTTGTCCCTGTGATGGGAACGCAACATTAAGAAAACACCTTATCTTGCAGCACATCTAATCACCTTGTTTAAACTTTTCCTAGATCGTACTTAAACTGAAGTAACAAAAATCCAGAGGGAAGTTGGGAAAAAACATTCAAGAATTTGTATGACGTTTTTTCTCCTACACAGTCTTTTGTTAAAATCTGATCGTTTTGTTCACTGAAAAGAAGTCAGTGCTATTTATTAATATGCATAAACACATTATACAACAGCAAGGCAAGATAACAAGGTATGTAGAGGAGCACAAACTTTGGAATAGCACAGTCTTAGACTCCAGTCCTGGATTCACCACTTAAACTGTGGGTCTTGGGTAAGTTACTAAACATCTCAGAATCACAATTTTGCCTTCCATAAAACAAGACTAATAATACCTAACTCACAGGTGTGTTGTGAGAAGTGTCATGATTCTATTATTCTGTAAAGGGCCCAGTACAGTGGCTGTCATCAAGTAAATACAGTCGTTGTTAGTTCCTTTCCCTGATGCATAATGAGACAGTGGAATCCCATTTGCTCACTTATTCAGCAAAGTGGGCTAAGGACTGGGCTAGGTTCATGAGGGATACAGATCCTACCCCCAACAAAGTTTGATATTTACATAAATTGCTATAATAACGCATAGAAAGTGCTGTGAGCCGTAACAAAGATATAAACAGGACAGTGAATGCATTTAGCTGGGGAATCAGGAAGGTCTCTGGAAAGTGAAGGTGTTTCCCTGGGTCTCACCAAATAAATAGGATTGGACCATATGGAAGAAGGAAGGAGCACCTAGGTCAGCGGTTTTCAGCTGACCTAGGCATCAGGTTTAGGGAGTCAGTAGTGAAGATATTTTGTTAGAGATACCACTGATTTCGTGGTTGGAAATGTAGGTTGTTTGGGACTCTTGAATATCAGTCTCAGGAATGTAGACCCTTATTCCATAAGTATAAGGGTCTAAATTATAAAGCAACTAGTGGTTTTGATTGACTAACAAAATCAGAATTGTTTTCAAGAAGAAAGTAATTGGCAGTATCATTTTGGGCAAACTGAAATAGAGAGAAAAGTACAGCTGAAAATTCACTGTTCAGCAAACATTTTTTTTTTCCATTTCATTTCTGTGCCAGGCAAAAGAAATGCAAGAATGAAGAAAATGATTTCTCTTTTTTAATTTTGCTTTGAGTTCTGGGGTGCACGTGCAGATGTTACAGGATTGTTGCATAGGTATGCACATGCCATGGCGGTTTGTTGCCTCCATCCCCCCGTCACCTACATTAGGTATTTCTCCTAATGTTATCACTCCCTAATCTCCTCACCCCCTGCTGTCCCTCTTCTAGCTCCCCAACCCCCAACAGACCCCAGTGTGTGATGTTCCCCTCCCTGTAGTATTTATTCTCATTGTTCAGCACCCACTTAAGAGTGAGAACATTCAGTGTTTGATTTTCTGTTCTTGTGTCAGTTTGCTGAGAATGATGGCTTTCAGAGTCATCCATGTCCCTGCAAAGGACATGAACTCATCCTTTTTTATGGCTGCATAGTATTCCATGGTGTATATGTGCCACATTTTCTTTATTCAGTCTATCATTGATGGGCATTTGGGTTTTTTTCCAAGTCTTTGCTATAGTAAACAGTGCCATAGTGAACATACGTGTGCATGTGTCTTTACAATAGATCAATTTATAATCCTTTGGGTATATATGCAATAATGGGATTGCTGGGACAAATGGCATTTCTATTTCTATATATTTGAGGAATCGCCACACTGTATTCCACAGTGGTTGAACTCCCACCAACAGTGTAAAAGCATTCCTATTTCTCCAAATCCTCTCCTGCATCTGTTGTTTCCAGATATTTTAATGATCGCCATTCTAAATGGCCTGAGATGGTATCTCAATGTGGTTTTGATTTGCATTTCTCTAATGACCAGTGATTGTGAGCATTTTTTCATGTTTGTTGGCCTCATATATGTCTTCTTTTGAAGTGTCTGTTCATATCTTTCACCCACTTTTGATTGGGTTGTTTGTTTTTTTCTTGTATATTTGTTTTAGTTCTTTGTAGATTCTAGATATTAGCCCTTTGTCAGATGGGTAGCTTGCAAAACTTTTTTCCCATTCTTTTGGTTGCCAGTTCACTCTAATGATTGCTTCTTTTGCTGTGCAGAAGGCTTAAGTTTAATTAGACCCTATTTGTCAATTTTGGCTTTTGTTGTTTTAGTCATAAAGTCCTTGCCTATGCCTATGTCCTGACTGGTATTGCCTAAGTTTTCTTCTAGGGTTTTTATGGCGTTAGATCTTATGTTTAAATCTTTAATCCATCTGGAGTTAATTTTTGTATAAGGTATAAGGAAGGGGTTCAGTCTCTGCTTTCTGCACATGGCTAGCCAGTTTTCCCAACACCATTTATTAAACAGGGAATCCTTTTCCCATTGCTTGTTTTTGTCCAGTTTGTCAAAGATCAGATGGTTGTAGATGTGTGGTGTTAATTCCAAGGCCTCTGTTTTGTTCCATTGGTCTATATCTCTGTTTTTGTACCAGTACCATGCTGTTTTAATTACTATAGCCTTTTAGTATAGTTTGAAGTCAGGTAGCATAATGCCTCCAGCTTTATTCTTTCTGCTCAGTATTGTCTTGGCTATGTGGGCTCTATTTTGGTTCCATATGAAGTTTGAGGTGGTTCTTTCCAGTTCTGTGAAGAAGGTCAATGGTAGTTTGATGGGGATAGCATTGAATCTGTAAATAACTTTGGACAGTATGGCCATTTTCACAATATTGATTCTTCCTAACCGTGAGCATGGACTGTTTCTCCATCTGTTTGTGTCCTCTCTTCTTTCCTTGAGCAGTGGTTTGTAGTTCTCCTTGACGAGGTCCTTCTTGTCCTTTGTTAGTTGTATTCCTAGGTATTTTATTCTCTTTGAAGCAATTGTGAATGGGAGTTTGCTCATGATTTGGCTTTCTGTTTGTTAAAAAAATATGGAACACTTCACAAATTTGCATGTCATCCTTGCATAGGGGCCATGCTAATCTTCTCTGTATTGTTCCAGTTTTAGTATATGTGCTGCCATGGCGAGCACAAAATGATTACTCCTTAGAAGCCCACTATCTAATTGATTTACGCATGACTATTAAACAATGAAATGTCAGTGTGTTATAACAAAGATGCATGCAAAGAGCTATATGAGCATGTATGAGAAAAAGAGCAGTGCTTTTTGCAAGATAGAGAAGGGCTCGCAGGAGAAGTGAAAGTTGAGCTAAGCCTTGCAAGATGGAAAAGCATTTGCCAGACACGAGAGAGGAAAGGCTTCCAGCAGCAGTCCCTTTGTGAACAAAGGTTCAGATGTTTACATATACATGGATTACCTTTAAGCTCTGAACTGGCAGGCTGTTTCTATTCTGGAACCACATCCCCAAAGCCTTGTCTCCTAACACTTTTAATGAAAACTTTGTTGCCTTCTGGTACTAAAAACCGATGGATGGATGGATGAATCGACGGACGGACGGATGCATGGATGGACGGATGAATGGATGTTGTAAATAAGCAAAACTGATATTTTTCATATTTTCATTTTTTCTGTCCGATAAGGCAATGTCATATCATTAATGCCTTTGATTTTTAATTTATCTGTTATGGACCTTAGAAATTGATTGAGAAAGTCTCAGTGAAAGCAGTTAGATCTGGGCATCTTCTACCTAAGGGCTCCTGTTCTCTTCTTCTGGCTCGTATAGACATAGTCCTCACAAGGCCACTGGAAAATTAAACTCCTAGAGTGGGTTCTGGTTCTCACCCTGTAACTGAGCCTGGCACTCTCACTCTGCAGCCCTTTTAACCTCTCTGTTGAGTAGACCTCTACTCTGCTTTTCAATGATCACTCATTTTCTCTGTGGCAGTCACCTCTTCAGAAGCATATTAGAATTGGCACCACTCAGATTCAACACAGAAAAAGGAGCATCCCCTTGTATCTCCTGGCCTTATCCCATGGTGAATGCTGTGTGCTCTGAAAAATATCCTGGTTCTAATGCCATTATAGAATGCCTTGCAGAGACCTGGGTGTGCCTCTTAGGTTCTGCGATTTGGGTTGAATCCGTATTCTCATGAGCCTTCCAAATGCATTCCCACTAATGATTTCTGAATTTGTACTCAGGAGGTCCCTTGGGGGAATATTTTCTCACCTGTGTTCCAGTGGCACTGCTTCAGAATTTCTGTACTCAAAGCCTCCCTATTCTATGTCTGCTACCCTGATTTGAGCATGTGTTCCCCAAGATTAAAAGCTATATGTTCCTGGCTGAGCACAGTGGCTCACACCTGTAATCCCAGCACTTTGGGAGGCTGAGGCAGGCGAATTCAAAGTCACAAGATCGAGACCATCCTTGCCAACATGGCAAAACTCCATCTGTACTAAAAATGCAAAAATTAGCTGGGTATGGTGGCACACATGTGTAGTCCCAGCTACTTGGGAGGCTGAGGCAGGAGAATCGCTTGAACCTGGGAGGCGGAGGTTGCAGTGAGCCGAGATCATGCCACTACACTCCCGCCTGGTGACAGAGCAAGACTCCATCTCAAAAACAAAAAAAGTTATATCTTCCTTAACTCTGGATTCTCAGCCCTTAGCATAGTACATAGCATATGGTATCTACATCTACCAAAATTAAGTTTTTCTAGTCCATAGAAACAAAACATTAAGTTGTCTGACAACAGTCAAAATAAAGTTAATCAAGTGGACTGACTTTATTTCTCTTATTTTCATCTAACTGAAACCTTAGTCTCACATGTACACTCACTTCTTGTCCCCCTTCCCTGCCTTATTTTCCTTTGTAGTACTACTTTTTTGAGACTAGTGTCACTCTGTCACCTAGGCTGAAGTGCAGTGGTGCAATCATGGCTCACTGCAACCTCCACCTCCAGGGTTCGAGCAATTCTCATTCCTCAGCCTCCCAAGTAGCTGGGATTATAGGCGAGTGCCACCATGCCTGGCTAATTTTTGTGTTTTTAGTAGAGACAGGGTTTCACCACGTTGCCCAAGCTAGTCTCAAACCTGTGGCCTTGAGTGATCCTCCTGCCTCAGCCTCCCAAAGTGCTGGGATTATAGGTGTGAGCCACCAGGCCAGGCTTTCTTTGTAGTGCTCTCTAATGTATATTTATTTTGTTTACTTTCTGTCCTATTAGAATATAAATTCCATGAGGACAGGGATTTCTTCTTCTTCTTCTTTTTTTTTTTTTTTTTTTTTTTTTTACTGGTGTCTCTGAAGAGTGTCAAACAATGCTTGTTATAGAATAGGACTTGAGAAAATCATTGATAAGAAAACAGTTTCAGCATATACAAATGCAGCCTTAACATGGCATGCATGTCTAATAGGAGAAAGTACTGCTTTTTGCACTTTTAGGAAGCATACCACTCTTAAAGTTATAGGTGGCTTATTTTCATTGAACATCATGTGAACTGTTTTCTAAAGCTTCAAAGTGAAATACACAATGAAATAGTTCTAATCACATAAGCTATACTTCATTTTTAGGTTGCAAGTTTATAGCAACGAATATTGATTGAAATCTGTTTTGTGCCAGGCCATGCATTCAACACGAACTTAGTATATGCCCTCAAAAAGGTTATAATAGGAGAGATGTACAAGTGCTGTGATTGTGCTAGCACAGAGTTCCACCACCATACGTGGGAGACACTTCTAACCCGTTACAGAGAGATAGGAGGCAAGTACATGTGATGTCAGAGGAGGCTTCCTGGGATAGTTGACACCTATATTGAAATCTGACATTCAAATAGAAATTAGCAGGAAGGTAGTAAGTTCTCTGTTCTTTAGAAACCCACTGTCTAATGGGGCAGACAAATAGCACAAGCAACCAACCCTAACATACTGTGTTATAAGAGAGATACGGTCACGAGTGCTCACTGAACATAGATGAGGAAGAGACTAAAGCCTTTGGATAAAATAGAGAAAACATCCCAGGGAAGGTAAAACGTGAGCTTGGTATTGAAAAACAGGGTTATGTTAGACAGAAGAAGTGGTCTATGAGGGAATGGAGACAAGAACTGGCATTAGTGGGTTTGCAGGGAGTTATGAAAAGCTAAATCATAGAGCAGAAATGCTAAGAGATAAAGCCGGAGGTAGGCAAGAACCAAATCTTAAAGGACCTTGAATGCCGTGCTAAGGAGTTTGAAATTTATTCCAGGAGCAGTGAAGAAAATTATGATGATCTGACCATGGAGATTTTTACCCAGACCACACCGAAATGAAATGCCATTAAGTGATTCAGTTTAGCATTTTGATCTGAAACAAAAAACAAAAGTATGCTGGAAAACATCAGAAAGAGACTTGAGGATTGGGAAAAGAAAAGAGAAATGAAGGCAGTGACATCGAGTTTTTCTGCTACAGTTTGGGACCTCAGTCTTTGCCTACTTGGCAAAGAGATGGCCAGTGTTGATTAAAGGGCCAGTGGAGCTGAGTCTGTCTTCCAGGTTCTGATGGTCTTCACCATAGACTTATCGGAGGCATGTACTCCTTAGTATTAATCAGGATGTTAGAAAATTTCTCCTTGGGTGTACTTGGGACTATCTTTAGTGACACTGGTGTTGAGTAGATTAATAGTTACCCAGATGTTTTCTTCAAGCCAACATCCCAGATGTTCCTTGGAGCTACATTGAGACCAAAAAGAGCAATTCAACAACTTTTTTAAAAAGAAGAATGTAGTTTTGAAACTGAGAGATACATATGTAAGGTTTATTATGACTAGTTCCTTCTACTTTTGTGTATTTTTAAATTTCACAATAAAAATACTTTTAAATAGTATAGTACCCAAGAAGCTGATAATAATAACTCAAGTATCTTTTTATCCTCATTAACTAAATTTATTTTCCTTTCCTACAACATTAGGCTTAATTCTTTAAATGTGCTACTTACATGATACTTTAAAAGTACGTATTTTATTTGTACAGTAGTCTAAGAACAAAGCAATATAACATGTATGATATGTTACAAATAAGAACATACTGCTGGCAGCCACAAGAATGTATGTATTATCTGTGCAGGTTAGGGAGAGCAATTTATAAAATGCCATTGTATAGTATAAATGTAGAACAAATTAGTATAAACATAGAAAATATAGATTCCTTTTTTTTTTTTTTTTTTTAGTGGCACTAATTTTTAGGAACAGTATTTCTTTAGACCCTTAAATTCTTTAACAGGCTTTATAAAAGATACCCAACATATCTTCCCATTCTTCAGAATGCTGTTGAACGGTGGTATGGAGAGCCAGCGTGTACAACTCCCATCTTGAAACTTATGGCAGAACTGATGCAAAACAGGTAAGCAGTGTGACAGGCAGTGAGAAAAACAATCTCCTATTAGCAGAAATCTCCAACAGTCAGACTTTCCTTCTTGATTTGTGTATTTTCAGGGTAGTTAGCAAGAGCCCAGGAACCAAGACTTAAGATGATTGGTGAAAACAGAATTGGAAACGTAAGATTGAGGTCTTTTGAGAGAAAGTAGTATACTTGGTGGTCTGTGGGGACTTCGGGAAATGGAAAAGAAATTGGAAGACTACAACCACCATTATTTAAAATATTCAAAGGCACAAAATGGAGGAGGCCAGCTATTTTAACGATTTCACTGCTTAAATGCAATTCTATATAATTTTAAAGCAGGAAAGAAGTTTAGAGGTCTCTGAGTTGAGATGCTTTATTTGATGGATAAGGAAAATGATTCTCACAGCAATTCATGGGAACCTAGTTTGCCTCAGAAGCTCTGGGAATTATTCCTGCTTTCACTTCGAAGCTATGCTTCTTCCTCTATGCCAAGATGCATGTATTTGGTTGATTTATACACTCCCAATTTTCATTGAAAGAGCAACTATAATACTTCTCTGAATTTGCCCAGTTGACCTTGTAATTTGCATAGACTGGCAGAAATTCAAATATTCTGCATATAAATGTTAACAAAGATGTAGCGAAAAGAGAATATCTGGCAATGAGCTAATTGGGTTTTAAATATGTCATTGTAGATATGGCTTAGCACCAAATTACCTGTCACTTAGCCATCCTGTTTCATCAGTTCCCCTTTGTAGACTGTGTGTTTAGTAGGGAGGTATCCAGACAGGGAAAGGGTATAGGTTGCAGCTCTAATTTGATCTCTGGTGCTGAGTTTTTCACAGCAATCATTTAAAATGTTTACCCTAAAATAAGAGGTGGAAAAATACCTTGCAAATAAAAATAATGTGAGCATCATTTATTTTAACACTGTTCATTTTTAAAAGCCACTTTCATAGGTGCCTTGAATATTAAAGGAAGGTTGACTATGTCTTTTATATTAGAAATCTAATTTCTTTTTAAATTATATTTTAATTTTTTCAGCCAGAAAATTGATATTATATGTTACTGATATAACATTTAATATTAAAGGAAGGAAACCATTACATTGTATATTTATAAAGTATTTTATATCAGCCATAGGCAAATGATTTTTTTTTTTTATTTTACTTTAAGTTCTGGGACACATGTGCAGAATGTGCAGGCTTGTCACATAGGTATAGGTGTGCCACGGTGGTTTGCTGCACCCATCAACCCGTCATCTAGGTTTTAAGCCCCACATGTGTTAGGTATTTGTCCTAATGCTCTTCCTCCCCTTGCCCCCACCCCGTGACAGCCCCCAGTGTGTGATGTTCCCCTCCCTGTGTCCATGTGTTCTCATTGTTCAACTCCCACTTATGAGTGAGAACATGCAGTATATGGTTTTCTGTTCCTGTGTTAGCTTACTGAGAATTATAATTTCCAGCTTTATCCATGTCCCTGCAAAGGACATGAACTCATTCTTTTTTATGGCTGCATAATATTCCATGGTGTGTATATGTGCCGCATTTTCTTTATCCAGTCTATCACTGATGGGCATTTGGATTGGTTCCAAGTCTTCTCTATTGTAAATAGTGCTGCAATAAACATACATGTGAATGTGTCTTTATAATTCTTTGGGTATATACCCAGTAATGAGATCGCTGGGTCAATTGGTGTTTCTGATCTAGATCCTTGAGGAATCACCACACTGTCTTCCACAATGGTTGAACTAATTTATTGTCCTACCAATAGTATAAAAGTGTTCCTATTTCTCCACAGCACCGCCAACATCTGTTGTTTCCTGACTTTTTAATAATTGCCATTCTAACTGGCATGAAATGGCATCTCGTTTGTTTAGTTTTTCATTTCTCTGATGACCACTGATGATGAGCTTTTTTTCATATGTTTGTTGGCCGCATAAATGTCTTCTTTTGCAAAGTGTCTGTTCATATCCTATGCCCACTTTTTGATGGGGTTATTTGTTTTTTTCTTGTACATTTGTTTAAGTTCCTCGTATACTCTGGATATTTTAGAACTTTGTCAGATCGGTAGCATACAAAAATTTTCTTTGATTCTGTAGGTTGCCTGTTCACTCTGATGATAGTTTCCTTGACTGTGCAGAAGCTCTTTAGTTTGATTAGATCCCATTTGTCAATTTTGGCTTTTGTAGAAATTGCTTTTGGTGTTTTTATCATGAAGTCTTTGCCCATGCCTATATCCTGAATGGTATTGCCTAGGTTTTCTTCTGGAGTTTTTACTGTTTGGGGTTTTACATTTAAGTCTTTAATCTATCTTGAGTTAATTTTTGTATATGGTGTAAGGAAGGGGTCCAGTTTCAGTTTTCTGCATATGGCTAGCCAGTTTTCCCAGCACCACTTACTAAATAGGAGATCTTCTCCCCATTGCTTGTTATCATCAGGTAGTTGAAGAGCAGATGGTTGTAGACGTGTGGTGTTATTTCTGAGGCCTCTATTCTGTTCCACTGTCTTATATATCTGTTTTGGTACCAGTACCATGCTGTATTGGCTACTGTAGCCTTGTAGTTTAAAGTCAAGTAGCATGATGCCTCCAGCTTTGTTCTTTTTGCTTAGGATTGCCTTGGCTATACGGGCTCTTTTTTGTTTCCATATGAAATTTAAAGTAGCTTTTTCTAGTTCTGTGAAGAAAATCACTGGTAGCTTGATGGGAATAGCATTGAATGTATAAATTACTTTGAGCAGTACAGCCATATTCACAATATTGATTTCTTCCTATCCATGAGCATGGAATGTTTTTCCATTTGTTTGTATTCTGTCTTATTTCCCTGAACAGTGGTTCATAGTTGTCCTCAAAGAGGTCCTTCACATTCCTTCTAAGTTGTATTCCTAGGTATTTTATTCCCTTTGTAGCAATTGCGAATGGGAGTTCACTCATGAGCTGGCTCTCTGCTTGTCTATTGTTGTATGGGAATGCTTGTGGGTTTTGCACATTGATTTTGTGTTCTGAGACTTTGCTGAAATTGCTTATCAGCTTAAGGAGTTTTTGGACTGAGATGATGGGGTTTTCTAAAAATACAATTATGTCTTCTGCAAACAGAGACAATTTGACTTTCTCTATTCCTACACTCTTTCTTTCTTTCTCTAGTATTGGCAAAAACTTCTAATACTATGTTGAATAGGAATGGTGAGAGAGGGCATCCTTGTCTTGTGCAGGTTTTCAAAGGGAATGCTTCCAACTTTTGCACATTCAGTATAATATTGGCTATAGGTTTGCCATAAATAGCTCTTATTATTTTGAGATATGTGCCATCAATACCTAGTTTATTGAGAGTTTTTAGCATGAAGGGATGTTGAATTTTATTGAAGGCCTCTTCTGCATCCATTGAGATAATCATGCGGTTTTTTGTCATTGGTTCTGTTTATGTGGATTATGTTTACTGATTTACATATGTTGAACCAGCCTTGCATTCCAGGGATGAAGCCAACTTCATCATGATGGATAAGCTTTTTGATGTGCTGCTGGATTCGGTTTGCCAGTATTTTATTGAGGATTTCACATCAATGTTCATCAAGGATACTGGCCTGAAATTTTCTTTTGTGTGTGTGTCTCTGCCAGGTTTTGGTATCAGGATGATGCTGGCCTCATATAATGAGTTAAGAAAGAGTCCTTCTTTTTCTATTATTTGGAACAGTTTCAGAAAGGATGGTACTAGCTGTCCCTTCCTTCAGGTTCTCTGTCTCAGGGAAATGGGGGTTTTGTCTGTAGACCCCTGACTGGGGCTGTTACCTTTCCTTCAGAGATACCCTGCCCAGTGAGGAGGAACCTGGAGAAGCAGTCTGACCACAGCTACTTTGCCACACCCAGCCCAGACCTCCCAACCTTCTTAGCTCTGGAAAAACCACCTACTAAAGGCTCAGTAATGGCAGACGCCCCTCTCGCCACCAAGCTCGATTGTCCCAGGTCAACTTCAGACTGATGTGCTAGCAACGAGGTTTCAAGCCAGTGGTTCTTAACTTGCTGGGCTATGTGGGAGTGGGACCCACTGAGCGAGACCACTTGGCTCCCTGGCTTCAGCCCCCTTTCCAGGGGAGTGAACTGTTCTGTCTCACTGGGGTTGGGTTCCAGGCACCACTGGAGTATGAACAGTTTCCTGCAGCTGGCTCAGTGTCTGCCCAAACAGCTGCCCAGTTCTGTGCTTGAAACCCAGGGCCCTGGTGGTGTAGGCACACGAGGGAATCTCCTGATCTGCAGATTGCAAAAGCCATAGGAAAGCACAGTAATCCAGCTGGGTAGCACATTCCTTCATGGTTTCCCTTGGCTCAGGGAGGGAGGTCCCTGGCTCCTTGCACTTCCCGGGTGAAGCAATACCCAACTCTGCCCCACCCTGCTTCTGCTCATCCTCCATGGGTTCAACCCACTGCCTAACCAGTCCCAGTGAGATGAACCGGGTACCTCAGTTAGAAATTCAGAAATCACCCGCCTTCTGCATTGGTCTTCCTGGGAGCTGTAGACTGGAGCTATCCCTGTTCGGCCCTCTTGGCCCTTCCCGAGATGATTGTTTGTTTGTTTGTTTGGGAGTCTCGCCCTGTTGCCCAGGCTGGAGTGCAGTGGTGGGATCTCAGCTCACTGCAACCTCCCGCTACCCGCTACCCGGTTCAAGTGATTCTTCTGCCTCAGCCTCCCAAGTAGCTGGGATTACAGATGTCTGCCACCACACCCAGCTAATCTTTTTGTATTTTTAGTAGAGACAAGGTTTCTCCATGTTGGCCAGGCTGGTCTTGAACTCCTGACCTCATGATCCACCCACCTCGCCCTTCCCAAAGTGCTGGGATTACAAGCATGAGCCACCACACACAGCCTAGATGATTCTTATCTAGCACAGTTGTCTTAAGAATTACCTTGTGAAATTTTGTTATTTCAGAAAATGTTATCTTGTCTATATTTCTCTAGAATTTAATGCAAATTATGTATATGCATTTCTTTAATCAGAACTTGTATGCCAACAATCAGATGTTCATAATAATATATCTAATACATAATCATTATACTTAATACTAAAGCATTTTGAAAAAACATGGAAAAAGCAAAAATATGTCTTATTCTTGGTAAGCGGGTCTTTAGCAATGTCTTGCTTTTTAGTAGTTTTTGTTTTGCTAATCCTTTTTTTTTTAAATGCCACTATTTCTTAAAAGCCAAAGCAATGTTTAAAAAGCAAATATTATGTTAGGAGGTCATGTTAGTACTTTACCCTGTTCATACTGTTTCCCAACCCCAGTAGGAACCAGGGAAGGAAAAATGCTCTCCATGAACTTCTGAGATTTGCTTCTCTTTACTTAAGTTGTATGCAGTGGAAACTAATGTAATTTAATGTGTTTGAAATATGTTTGAAGTATCAGGTAATTCATTACACATATATGCAGTATTTTTAAAGTACTGGATTTCCTATCCATCACTTTAGAATTTGTTTTAAAAATGTGTATGAGGCACTGTAGGAAATCTCAAATGTAAATATATATCATTATCCAAGTATTTGTATAAACCTAGACACTTGGGATGTTTTATTATTATCCATCTTCTAGTTGGCATGAAAGAGGCAAGAAATCTGTGATAAAGAATGTCGGGATATCATTTTGACAGATGAAAAATGAACTCTTTGAAAATAATTCTTTTTTTTTTCTTTGAGACGGAGTCTCACTCTGTCTCCAGGCTGGAGTGCAGTGGCGCAATCTCAGCTCACTCCAACCCCCTCCTCCCGGGTTCAAGCAGTTCTCTGCCTCAGCCTCCTGAGTAGCTGGAACTACAGGCACGTGCCACCATGCCCAGCTGATTTTTTGTATTTTTAGTAGAGACAGGTTTTCACCGTGTTAGCCAGGATGGTCTCAATCTCCTGACCTCGTGATCCGCCCACTTCGGCCTCCCAAAGTGCTGGTATTACAGGCGTGAGCCACTGCACCCAGCCAAAAATAATAATTCTTAGCTGTCGTAGTATCTTTATAGTGAAGAAATTAGCATACATATTTTATTAACATTTTTATAAAATGGAGTGGACCTTTAAGAGACAATTGTGCTGCTGCTACTTCTTATAAATGAAAATGCTAGACATTTTAAGTCTGTTTGGTTTCTTTATCTGCACATATAGTCAATTTTTTTCTATATTTCTTAGATCCCAGCGTTTGAATTTTGATGTATCATCTCCTAATGGAATTCTTCTCTTCAGAGAAGCTAGTAAAATGGTTTGCACTTATGGTGAGTATCCTTTTCCATATGTGTTTCTGCAATATAGTTTTATCTCTTTGGAGGAAAGAAAGATGTTAGTTATTTTTTTCTTTTGAACCTTCATATCTTTATGAATTTGTGAACTGGGTAAACAAGTGCAAAAAGCCAGATAGCTATCATATTGGCATCAGGAGAAGTACGCAGCATGCCTTTGACTAAATCATGCCTGACCAACTTGATGAATTTCTTTTGGATAAAATTGCAGTGTCAGTAGATGAGGGAATACACGAGATAGAATATCGAAAAGTTACAGCATATTCAAAATTGCTCAAAGTTACATCAGAGAATTTACTATGTTGATTCAAGAAATGCTTAAACCAGAATGTCACTGAATTGTGGGAAAATATCATTGTAAAGAGCAGTAAATATTTTATTACAGGGGACTTTTGGGTACTGTACCTCTAGAAGCAGAGTTCTATAGTAAAGATTGTCCTATTCAATTATAGTCCAAAATTTAGTATTTGGTTAGCAGTTTGGGCTTTACAGCTACCATAAACCCTAATACTTGCCAATTCTGACACTGTCATCAGTGAAATTCTCTACTCTCTGAGACCTTTATGTCGATAGGGAATGGAGATAGGATAAATAAAAATCCTCTGTGTTCTGCTTTGGCACACAGTGACTGAATGTCAGCTGAGCTGGGCTCTGTGCAGTGCACTTCTCCTTGAGAAATGCTTCCCTGTGTCCTTTTTTTCCCTGACTGTTCTTTCCCAAATCAACAGCAAACTCTTAAGTACATTTAGTCTTAAAAATTACATGTGAATCTCTTTTTTGTTTTGTTTTGTTTTGAGATGGAGTCTCACTGTGAAACCACACTGGCCAGTGCAGTGGGTGGCGCAATATCAGCTCACTGCAGCCTCCGAGTCCCAGGCACAGATGATCTTCCCATCTCAGCCTCCTGAGTAGCTAGGGTTATAGCCACGCCCCACGCCCAACTAATTTTTGTATTTTTAGTAGAGATGGAATTTCACCATGTTAGCCAGACTGGTCACAAACTCCTGACCTCAAGTGATCTGCTCACCTCAGCCACCCAAAGTGCTGGGATTACAGGCATGAGCCACTGCACCCAGCCGTGATTCTCACATTTCTTTTTGAGTACCTAGAAACAAATCTTACAAAATTTTATGCAGTCTCTATTCTAATTCTGTGTGTTTGTTTATGTGTTTAAGAACAACCATTAGAAGCATTACTTTTTTTTAAGTAAAAGCCTATTTCTAAAAAGAAAAAAATGGGTGTTTTAAGTTGTTTTACCTCATTTCAGAACACATTCTGGGGCTCTGATCTGTATACATTGTCAGCCTCCATTAAAAAATACTTTATTTTAATTGCACATCTGCTCGGTAGAATTGAGATTTTTCATGTGTAAAAACTAGAGAAACTATATAGGACAGCAAACTTATACTCATGTGTAAAAACTGGAGAAACTATATAGGACAGCAAACTTATATGACAATAGACACATTAAAATCATATAAAGTGGGCCAGGCTCAGTGGGTCACGTCTGTAGTCCCAGTACTTTGGGAGGCTGAGGGGGGTGGATCACTTGAGGCCAGGAGTTCGAGACCAGCCTGGCCAACATGGTGAAACCCTGTCTCTACTAAAACTACAAAAAATTGGCCAGGCGTGGTGGCACGTGCCTGTAATCCCAGGTTCTCAGGAGGCTGACGCAAGAGAATTACTTGAACCCAGGAGGCGAAGATTGCAGTGAACTGAGATCACGCCATTGCACTCCAGCCTGGGCAACAAGAGCGAAACTCCGTCTCAAAAAATAAAATAAAATAAAATAAAATCATATAAAGTGAAAATACTTTGCCTCCTAGAGTTAAAAATGGACCCCTTTAAAAAATATTCTAAATACAATTTGCCATACTTTCTGTGTATATCTAGTTCTTTTCCACGTTTTATCATGTAAGATGTATGTCTGGACCTTTTTTCAAAAACAGCATGGTATATTAGAAAAAGCACACTTTTCAGATTTAAAAGATCTGAGTACTAATCCTATTACCAATACTTATCAACTACATAACCTTCAGCTAAAATACTGTATATACCTCTTTGTGGTTAGCTTTCTCTTGTATAAAACTAGGAATTCTAAATATCTACTGACTTACCTGCCTAGTTGTGATTAAGAAGGTTAACTGAGCTATTCTGGTAAAAGGCCTGGCATGGGAGGTTACGTGGAATAGGTACCCCCTGCTTATGTCTCTCCTTGTCCCAAAGCCTTTCTCTTATACCCACCAAGTTAGCCTTCTTTGGACAGGGGTTCAACAACCCATGTCATCGTTTTGCTTAGCAGTGCTTCCTGTTTGGACCACTCTGCCCTGCTGCTTCTCCCAGTAGCCAGTGATGAGTTTTTATTTCCTTACTTTTTTAAAGGAAATAAATAGCACATATATAAGAATCTCTTGGTAATCAATAGAACTTTATGCATATGTTAGATTCCTGCTACCAGTCACAGTTGTATCATTCCTACCCCTTTTTCTAGATCTTTCTTTTCACTAAATGTGTTTTTTTTCCTTTGGGGCTTATTTCCTGTTGCACTGGGGCTGTTAAGGGAAGTGAGCTTCCTCTTCCAGCATCACTGACTTTCTAGGACAGAATATACGTGCAGTAAGTGACACCACAAGGAATCTCACAGAACAATGCCAAATCTGTGGGCTTCAAAAGCCATTTTGTTCTCTGTTGGGTTGTCTGACATAGAAAAAAGCATTGCAGCAAAAATTGAGCAAAATGACTATGTGAGGATTATACTGGAGGAGGAAGAAGAGGAGACAGGGAGGGAAATGAAGGGATAGGAGAATTGAAGTAGGGTGGGGGGAGACAAAACCTTCAAAGCATTCTTGCAAAGAAAAGCCAGCAAGGAGTTTTCTTACTCAGAAGAAAGATGAGATTAGAATAAAGCTCTGCTCCTTGATTTAGACTAATAGTACTCGCAGCTTTCATTTTGTTATCAGCTTTTATAGTCCTATATTAGACCATTTATCATACATTACCCTGTTGAATCCTCAAGGTAGGTATTATATGCTACTCACTAGTTATATGACCTTGGTTAAGTTGCAAGCCTCTCTTGCTTCAGTTTCTTGTTAAATAGAGAAAATACTATGTACCTCATAACATGCTTGTAAGAATTCAAGTAGGTAATGTATGGAAAGCCCTTAGACCAGTTAACGACTATGATTACTGTTAGGAATAAATTGAAACTCATAGAGGTTAAAAAATTTGTCAAATATTACATAGCTGGCAAGTAGCTGAATTGGAGTTTCATTCAGTCATACTGACAGTAGTCTTTTCGTATTCTTTACTGCCTCCTGTGAGTTGCCAAAGTAAGATTTTACCATGGATATTTATGATGAAGCAATGTTTTTTAAAGTATGGTGATTTCTGTCTCAAAGCCTGAAGGAAATCAAAGGTTCAATGAAAAAATGTCCTTGAACTGTGTCACCAGTGACTTTGACTTTGATACATAAACTTTACATAGAATAATAGAAAAAAAATGTCTCTTAACCTATACTAATTCTCTTGCTGGTCCACATCAGTCATCCGATTTATCTGTCTTTACCTTCAGTAATGCTTTATTATCCATGCTTTTACCTCTGGCAGTTCTCATGTGCACATTGGAGGGAGATGTAGCTGCCATTCAGGAGTCTAGAAGACAAGGGAAAGAGTGGCTGGGAGGGCACAGAAGAGCCAGCATTGTTTATTTCTTTGGTAAGCTGAGGTGAAGGAAGGGGAAGCCAGTGGAGCGAAGAAACCAGAACATTCTGTGATCCCTTCTGTTTCCATCCTCACTGGGTTCTTCTCTGATCACCTCTCATGAGCAGTTTTGGGGAGTAGTCAGTGATCAGGCCGTGCAGAGAGGGAACGACTCATTTCCAAATGCAACTGACTTGTTAGGTATTTTGTGAAATATCTCCACCTCACTGCTCTGTGAGACTGGCAGAAAAATAATACTTTTGATATGCTGTTTTATTTATCTGCAGTCTGTCATGATATACTTTGATGTAAGTTTTTAATTTTGCTTCTGCTCTCAGCTCCTCTTGCCGTTACAGCTCAGGGTCAGCAATGAGGTTAGCCACAGTAGCACAAAACAATTTCCTGTTTGTGCAGCCCAGGTAACATTTGGATGAGGATTAAATTTTACCACATTTTCTACTAGCCCAAGCCTATTATTTCTAATGAGTTTTAAATTGCTTCAAGAACGTGTGCTTCAAAACTTAGTGCTCTGATCCATTCAGCCAGAGCAACTTAATAAATTTCTTTCTTAAATTTTTGGTTAAAATGTTGCATGCAGTGTAATAAATGTTATTACTTTGGAAACCTACTTCTCAGTTTTAAGAACTGGGTGATTTTTATGTTCAATTTCCATTTGTCTCATCTTTCCTTCACTTTGCCTCTGGGTCCTGGTATCTTTAGTGACATCTGTTGGTTGAAGAGTGCACAGAAGGGAGAAATAATGATTGTTTTCATAAGACTGGCCAAAACAGAACTGCCTTTATTCCTTCCTTAGGTACCTGATTTAAGAAAGCTCATGTATAAAGAGTCTAAACTTTAAAAATGGTTAGTACACACTATGATTATTCACTGTACATAAGAATTTACATCAGGGTTCTTTTAAGCAGTATATGCTCTGGGTATATGTAAGGTATAGCTTAATATGCATACATTGAATTTTAAAGTGTTATACAAGCCACCGTTACTCGTCATCACCTGGATAACCGGCTATTGGCTTTCACGCTGGGTTTTGCAGAGCTGTAGAGGGCTGGGAAAGTGCCACATTCGCCCTCCAGAAAAATGGGGAGAGAGGACCACTTTGCCACTTTGACCAGAACCACCCAGCTATGTAGTTACACTAGACTTGTTTGTAAAAGCTATCACCTGTTAGGAATTTTTTTTAAAAAAAGAGGATGAAAATCACTTGCACGTACTGTTAGACGTGTAGTACGAATGGAAGGTTAGGATTGTATACAGGC